TTCTCTTGGGAAAAATAGGGTACAGGGTGCTAAAACATTGAGCAAATAAATGAACTGTGCTGGATTTTAAGGTACACAGGTCCACCAAGTTCATCCATATAACCTCATGACTAATAAAGGCAAAAGGACTATAGTTCATTTTTCTGTTGCAGTCCTACTGACCCCATAAGGCAAACATCAATAAAGCTGGCAAAAAAAGGAATGTATTCACCTGTGTACCAGATGCTATTAGAGATCCCGTCAAACACCTGAATTACAGGAAAGACAGACAGGTTCTGCCTGCATCTCACCCACGCTCAAAAAAATGGAAAGCAGTAGTGTTTGCTAATCTAACCAAAGAATATTTGTTTTGTTTTGTTTTTTCCCCCGAGACGGAGTCTTGTTCTGTCACCCAGGCTGGAATGCAGTGGCACAATCTTGGCTCACTGCAACCTCTGCTGCCGGGATTCAAGCAATTCTCCCACCTCAGCCTCCTGAGTAGCTGGGATTACAGGCACGTGTCAACACACCTGGCTAATTTTTGTATTTTTAGTAGAGACGGGGTTTCACCATGTTGGCCAGGCTGGTCTTGAACTCCTGACCTCAGGTGATCCGCCTGCCTCAGACTCCCAAAGTGCTTGGATTACAGGCATGAGCCAACGTGCCCGGCCCCAAAGAATATTTGAATACCCTGTTTGCCCCCACCAGCACCACCACAGTTCTCATCTTTTATGCCTCAGACCTTCTTTGTCCAATACAGTAGCTATCACCACATGTAACTATTTAAATTTAAATTTTTTTTAATTTTAATAGTTTTAATTAAAATAGTTTTAACTATTTGAATCAAACTCCACTTCTTACACTAGTCATTTTAAGTGCTTCCGAGTCACATGTGGCCAGTGGCTACCATATCAGAGCAGGTAAGATTTAGTTCCATGATTGTAGAAAATTCTATCTCACAGAGCTGCTTCAGATACTACACTATTATTTTTATTTCAACTTTGATTAGACTCCTTGAGGAAAGGGGCTATGTCTTATTTATCTTTTTATCCCCAGTTTATATAGCTAAGTGTGTGAAAACACACTAAGTACTCACTATACTGACAGTCCTCAACTTATGATTTTGAACTGTACCAGGGTGTGAAAGCAATATGCTTTCAGTAAAAACTGTACTTTGAATATCCACATAGCCATTCTGTTTTTCACTTTCAGTACAGTATTCAATCAATTACATGAAATATTCAACATTTTATTATAAAATACACTTTGTGCTAGATAATTTTGCCCAACTGTAGGCTAATGTAAATGTTCTGAGCATGTTTAAGGTAGATGAGGCTAAGCTATTCTGTTCAGTAGGTATATTAAATGCATTGAGCTATTATGTTCAATAGCTATGTTAAATGCATTTTTGGCTTACAATCTTTTCAACTTTGATAGGTTTATTGGGAAGTAATCCCATCATAAGTTGAGGAGCCTCTAGATACCTGAGTTTCTCAAACATAAGCAGATCACTCTCTCCACTTTCCTATCCCATACATACACACAGACGTGCAAACACAAACCAATAATACACAAGACAACCTTTCTCATGGGGCAGGGGGCAGGGGTGAAAGAGGACACTGTCCAGAGGAAGGAGGGCTACGTTCTAGTACTGGAGGTGCTGGAAGCTAACCATGTAGCCTTGGCCAAGTTATTTTCCACATCTATAAGAAGATAGAATGAAACTCCATGCAGCTTAATTTTAAAACTTAAATCACCTTGCACCAAAGAAAATCAAGTATTCTGCCCAAAAAGTCTTTGCACGTGTCAGGAAACACACTTGCTAACACTGATGAGTACCTTGTATTAAACAGAATCCATTTCTAGGTCCCAAGCTATCACGATTAGAGTCACTTTTGTTCTCTGAGCATGTGGAATTTTTCACCTTTACTTTGGGGCTCAACTAAAGACTTAAACTTTCAGGCTTAAAGATTAAGTTTCTTCCATGTGCTAAAGTAAGAACTGGATACTGTGTCCATATCTGATCAGAGACACAAGGACAGGTTTCTTAAGTATTTGAATTTAACATAAATTGTCCCATCAGTTTCTATTAGTGCTAAGCCTGAAAATCGAGCAAATAGTACAAAACAGAACAAAGAAAATATTTATAAAGAATACTTTATAGGCCAGGCATGGTGGCTCACGCCTGTAATCCCAACATTTTGGGAGGCCGAGGTGGGCAGAATACTTGAGGCCAGGAGTTCGACACAAGCCTGGCCAACGTGGCAAAATCCTCTCTCAACTAAAAATACAAAAAAATTAGCCAGGCATGGTGGCGGGCACCTGTAGTCCCCGCTACTCAGGAGGCCGAGGCAGGAGAATCGCTTGAACCCAGGAGACAGAGGTTGTAGTTGAGCCGAGATCATGCCACCGCACTCAAGCCTGGGGGACAGAGCGAGACTCCATCTCAGGAAAAAAAAAAAGGAATATTTTATGAAATGTGTTCTTAATTCAGTCTACGTACTTTGTCATATTTAACTGCTATAAAAATCTGTACTGTCCAAAAACCTCATCATAATAACCTTCACACACACATTCACTAAGATTTGCAAACCCTTACATGGTTTTAAGACCAGCCAAGAACAAATCCAATCTGAATTATTGGCCTGCCTTCCTTTAAAACTTGTAAACATGGCAAACGGACCAATGGCAGTTCAGGCATTCTGCAATAAATATGTGCTAAGTTTGTCAATTCCTGTGACATCATGATTTTACTCCTCATTAAGTATTTACATCATCTCTCTCGGTGAACAGAATCAACTATTAACAATGGCAACTCCATCTACTTGTATTTCCAATAACAACAAGGCAGTGCCATTTAGTGGATGACAACTAAACACTTTTTTGGAAAATGAAGTAGGGAACACATGCAAAGGCCTAACAATAATAAAAAGACTTTCCCTATAGACATGATTGCGTCTGTAATAAAATCAGACACTAAAAATCAAGCAATGTTGATTGCACATGGTTAGTCCTACAAAGTGCCTTGCAATTGGTCAGTGTGTGAGTTCAACTGCTGGACAAATGACTGAACATAACTAAAATGTTCATTTCGAACCAAAAAGAACAAAACTCTATAAGCTGGGCACTACCAAACATCTTTTACAAAAATGGAAATAAAGAAGTATCTGTTTGCAACGTGATCCATCTATAACATAAAGGGACCCAACCATTCCATCAGTAAAAGCTTTATGAGTCTGTATGTCAAAGCACTGGAAGGAATACAGAGATGAAGAAAACATGGTCCCTGCCCTAAAGCTTCTCATAATCCAGAAGAACGGACAGAATTACAACCCAGAAAAATAACTGATAAGTTTCACTATGATGTTGCTAAAGAGCAAATTGGAAGGACTCAAGGTGGGTGGGGGTCAGTTACAGAGATACCTTGAAGGGAATGTTTAAAGCTATGTAGCCAGAGAAAGGAAGAAAAGGGTATGTAGGCCTGGAACGGTTGCTCACATCTCTAATCTCACCACTACGGCAGGCCAAGGTGGGTTTGGGACCCTTCAGCCCAGGAGTTTGAGACCAGCCTGGGCAACATGGAGAAACCCCAACTCTACAAAATTTAAAAAAAAAAAAAAAATCAAAAATTAGCCAGGCATGGTGGCACACAGCTGTAGTCCCAGCTACTTGGGAGGCTAAGGTGGGAGGATTGCTTGAGCTCAGGAGGTGGAAGTTGCAGTGAGCCAAGATCATGCCACTGCATTCCAGCCTGGGCAACAGAGCAAGACTCTGTCTAAAAAAAGAAAAGAAAAGGGTGTGTATATGTATACAGGAGAGAGCAGAACTGTAGGCGTTGGGGTGGAGTGGTCAGAAAGCTCAGAGGATGGTCTAGGTAGATGAATAGCATACGCAAAAACCACCCAGAGGTTAGGGATGCTACACCTGTAAGTACTGTATATTTAGGAAAATTGAAAACGAACAGTTTTGCATAAGATGCATACATTTCAAATGTTCCAGATGACTCTGAATCCCTGCAGAGAAAGTTACTTCCCACTCCCAACAGTCTTTCACCAGGTGTAGTGGTCAGCGGACCTAAAGAAAAGATCTCTGCGGTGGAACTTGCATGTTTAACAAGGTCCCAGACAATTCCCCTGCACACTTAAGGTGGAGAAGCAGAGATGCATTTTGAGATGCAGAATTAGCAAATTACATGCGGTTCTCAAACTTTGCTGCACGCTGGAATCACTTGGGCATCTTTAAAAAATATACTGAAGTCTGGCTTTCACCCACTAGACATTCTGACTGTATTGGTCTGGGATGCCACATGGGCATCAGAAACCTTCAAAAGTTCCCCCAGGTGATTCTACGGTGTAGCAAAGTAGGAGAGCCACTGCCCTAATTGTTAAGCACTTGGAACTGTGGAGTCGGACTGCTTCGGTTCAAATTACTAGCTATGTGACCTTGGGTAATTAAGTCACCCAACCACCCAGGGACTCAGTCGCCTCATCAGTAAAATGGGGACAATAATCCTACCTCACAGGGTTGCTGTGAAATCAGACGTGGTTAACGTAATGGCATGATGCCTGGCGGATAACAATCGCTTAATGGGGGTTAGCTGTTTACTCTCATTATCAACTCTTCCTCATCAGTGTCACTGTGCAATGGGCAGTATCGTCCCCACTGGGCGGCAGCAACTCGCCTACCCTTTCTGCTGGACCAAATTCTTTGCCAGAGTTGTCTCGCTCAGCTCCAGACCCGCCCCCTCCCCCAGGCTGCCAGGAGAGGGCTTGGCCCGGCCGGGGCAGCTCCTAAGGATTAGACCGGGTTTACACAGACTCGACAGCAGCCGCCCACTCCAGGGCCGAGATTTCCCCGCCCCCGTGGGTCTCCCAAAAATTTGGAGATGCGCTTCCAAAGGCCGGGCCCCTGGAGCACCCAGGGTCGAGAAACAAGCCTCAGCCGTCCCCAGACCGCCGGGAGGGGAAGAAAGGAAAGGAGAGGGGAGGGTCCGGCCGCGGAGGAGCCGGCTGCCCAGTTACCTGAGGCTACGGGCGGGGCCCGCATCGCTGGGGCGGGCGCCGCCGCCGCCGCCGCCGCCGGCCGCACTCGGCCTTCCGCCTCACGCGACCCGTGCCATTGGGCTGGCGCTTTCACTGCCCTGGCCGGCCGTCCTCAGGCAGTCCGTCGTCCACCCGTCAGCCACTCTCCCAGGGTGCCAAGGGACGACGAAGGCCAGTCGGGCCAGCCGGCTGGGCTCTGCTCAGGCAACTTCCGACTGCCAGGGGCGGCGGCGTCAAATAACTCCCTAGCCAAGTGGGCCACTACGCGTGCGCGGTGCGCCAGCTGAGAGCCTTCTGCGGGGCTGAACCGGTGGCGTCAAATAATTCCCGAGACACGGAGCCGGAAGCTGCGCCTGCGCAGCTATCCCAGATCGCCGCGCGGGGCGCATTCCGTCCTCCCTTTCCGGATCAAATGGCGAGGGAGGAGTGAAGCGACGGATCCACCTACCTCATCGCATCACAGAGGAGGCACTCCACCTGCGTCTTTAGGAATCTTACGGCAACACACTCTACCTGTTTTCGGTGCAGGCGAAGTAAGGGGCTTGTCTGCAAGATTCTGGCTCCCACAGAGGCTCTAGGAATTTCTCCCATCCCAAAATTACAGCACCCTTCCTCTGAAATGATGTTCTTTACTCGCCGCCCTCTTATTACATGGGCACATCATTAATTATGAGCAGTGCTCTATTCCAGGCCTGGTGTGGGTTACAAAGGTGAATGGAACATAAGATTTAGAGCCTCTCATTAAAGAGCTGAATCTGATAGAGATAAGGCAGTAATAATAATAGTAAGAGATACCTCTTTGAGCACCTGCAATGCTCCAGACATTTTGTCAACGGTACCACTTTCAATAACTTGCTTTCACTTCAACGAAGAAAATAATTAGTACCATTGGAGAGGTACAGTTTAAGTGCTTTGAGAGTGTAAAGGAGGAAACTTGGACTGAGCGAGAAGAGGAGGGAGGAATGGTGGAATTCTTCATGAAGGACCTGGCCTTGGGTCTGACCTTGGGAATTCAGAGAGAGAGGGGTCAGGGTGTTGAGTAGAGGTGAAGACACGGGTGTCTGAAAAGCAGAAAGGAGCAAAGAAGATTCTGACTCCTCACCTCGGAAGTTAGTCTCTTCTAACTGAGGTGAGGAATGGGTGATAAGGGAACTAGTATCATCATAGAAAGGGTAAAATTGAAGAGTGTTCCATCGAGACCACACCTCAGCCCCCAGGAGAATAGCTACAGGAAGGAAAAGGAAAAAGAAAAGTAAGAATGTGCTAGCATAGGAACAAGGTTATTTACAGGACACTGTGGATCCAAGCAATACATTTCAGTTCAACGCAGTGTGACAAATTATGTAGCAGGCTAACTCAGTATCTATTTCAACCGCTCCCTCGCCTTCCTACACTACAGGGTCTGGAAAGCAAAGCACACAGTTCTCTACCTTCCTTGCTGCTAAGGGTGGCAGTGAGAAAAAGTCCTCGCCAATAAGATGTAGGCAGAAGTGTCAAAGGAGACCTTCCCTTCCTTCTTCCCTTGGAGAAGTTTGTGTCCTTCACTTTTCCCCTGCTTCATGCTTGGAACTAGGCGACACCTGGTACACAGCAGCCTAGCGGTCATGAGGAGGACTGTGCTAAGGAAGGTGGAGCAGAAAGACAGGAGCCTGCCTGTTTAGGTCATACTCAAGCAGCGACACAAACCCTGTACTACCTTCCTGTCTTATGGGAGTGAGGAATCTTAAGTATACCAGAGTTTGTTGAGTTTTCTGTTACTTGTAACCAGATGCATTCTAACACAATACTGAACACCTGTAACAGAGAGGGAGAGTGACTAATTGGAAGAACAATAGGTGATGGGAATTAGAAAAGTGACAGGCACAGAAGATGGGAAAGCTGTCCAAAAGCCCTTGGGGAGATGACAAACATACAGCTATCACCCTCCTAGGGGTTTTAATTCATTCCTGAAATTCTGCTTCTAGGAGGAAAGCTGTTAAATTTTTTCCATTAATTAAAATGGGCAAAATTCTGTTCAATTCCAACCTAAGGCCCCTAAATATTTTTAATAGAAAAGAATATATCGATGCAACAGAAAATTATACAAGCAATAAGTAACTTTGCTTAAAATACGGCTTTTACATAAAATGTAAGACATTAAGACTTATTACACTGGCCAGAAAGACAAGATTTAATATTAGGTGCAAGTTGGTGGAGGAGAGATGCAAGTGTCGTTCTTTAAAAGATGGTTTGTTTTTTAAGAGACAGGGCCTCGCTATGTTGCCCAGGCTGGCTTCAAACTCCCGGGCCCAAGCCATTCACCTGCCTCAGCCTCCCAAGTAGCTGGAACTAAAGGCACACATCACTGTGCCTGGCATAAATGATATGATTTTTCTGCGCTCTTTGCTAATTTTTTAAATCTTTTGAGGGCTTCACTTAAACCAACATAAAAATAAAACACACATACACACATATACCTTAAGGGAAAATTAAAGACTAAACATTAGAAACATATGAGAAAAGCACACATGTACAATAAACTTAAGAGACACATGAGATGCAAGACAGTAAAACATTTGGGATTCTCCAGAGTGCACAATTCAGATTTGTTCCACAGCATGATCTCTGACTAAAAACATTAACTAAATTGGAGAATGTTTTCATCTCAAACTGTAATGTCAAAATATCACTTTGTATAGTGTCTTTGGAAAGGCACAGCATTGGAAAAAGGAGCAGCAGCAGTATAAGCTTTCGTGACAGACTTTTTTTCCAAAGATGACTACACCAGTCTGTTTCGTTTTATTTACATTGAAAGCATCAACCTGGGAGATGCCACACCAATCTATATGATCCATCCCATGCTTCTCCTTACAATGTAACTGACACTCCTCTTACTGAGAAGTGGGATCAATATTCCTTCTCCTTGAGTCTGGCTGAGCCTGTGAGCATTCCAACCAATAGGGCAAAGTGATGCTATGTGATTGCTGAGGCTAGGTCATAAAGAAGACACAGCTTCTACCAGTCTTGCTCCCTATTACAATGCTCACTGTTGGACCCCAGCCACCATGCTTGGAGAAAGCCCAAGCCACATAAAGAAAACATGAAGAGGTGTTCCAACTACCAGCCCTAGCTAAGGCTTTGCTGATAGTCAACATCAATAGCCAGACATACAACTGAGGAAGCCATCAGATGATTCCAGCCCCAGCTTCAAGCCTCCACCCTCACCTGACACCAAGCTAAGCAGGGACAAACTAACCCTATTGAGAGCAGACCATAAGAGATGTAGATCCATGAAAAAAATATATACATATATATATATATATATACACACACACACATATATATGTGTATATATATATACACACATATATATATATACACATATATATGTGTATATATATATACGTATATATATACACATATATATACACATATATATATATACACATATATATGTATATATATTGTATATATATGTGTATATATACATATATATTGTATATATATGTATATATGTATATATAAATATACATATATATGTATATTTTATATATGTATATATAAAATATATACATATATATAAAAATATATATATATATATAATTTTTTTTTTAAAGAGGCTAGGCACAGTGACTCATGCATATAATCCCAGCGCTTTGGGAGGCCAAGGCAGGTGGGTCACCTGAGGTCAGGAGTTTGAGACCAGCCTGACCAACATGGAGAAACCCCATCTCTACTAAAAATACAAAATTAGCTGGGCGTGGTGGCGCATGCCTGTAATCCCAGCTATTCGGGTGGCTGAGGCAGGAGACTTGCTTGAACCTGAGAGGTGGAGGTTGCAGTGAGCCAAGATTGCACCATTGCACTTCAGCCTAGGCAACAACTCCATCTCAAAAAAAAAAAAAAAAAATGAGAGAGAGAGAGGTCCATATAGCAGATTCATGAATAAAATAAATATTGTCATTTACCCCAACCAAGTTTTGGGGTAAATTGTATATAGTCACAGTAATTGGAACACTTTTCAAGAACTGTAACTGAGAAAAGTTTCTAACTGAACAGCTGTATGTGAAATACATCTGTAGCCATTTTTTTCTTGTTTTATTTTTCCTTCTTTTTTAATTGTGCAGTACCAGCTTAGGGTAGAAACAGTTGGTCAGACCCATTGCTGTTTCTCCTGAACCTAACGCCATACTGGCATGGTGTGAGTGCTCAGTGAACATGTGTTAGATGGATGGATGGAGGGAGGGTGGGAGGGAGGGAGGGAGGGATGGATGGGTGGGTGGGTGGGTGGATGGATGGAGGGATGGAGGGAGGGAGGGATGGATGGATGGATGAGGAGATGGATAGAAGCTTCATTGGGTCAGTGCTGAACCCACCTTCTTGCTCCTACTGTTAAGTCTTAGTAAACAGTATGCAGCAGATGGTAGTAACACCACTAGATTCAGGCAAGTGGGGTCCCTTGTGCCAGACCCTGTGCCTTAAGAGGGTCCTGCACTTTGGACTGTATTCCTCAAAAGTTTTCAAGTGCCCTTCTGGGACTAGCCATGCCATTTAGGAAGGGTGTCTCCGTTGAGATCAGGTCCCATGTAAGCCTTGTTGACCACAATTTTCCACCTTGAAATTTCCTCCTCAAGTGCCTTTGAGCCCACTTCCTCCACTCTTGAAAACACCATTTTCCAGGTAGTTCTAATTGTTAGCCCAAGCCCTCACTGGGCCTTCACTCATACCCCAGAACACCCTCTCCAGTAAAAAAAAAAAGCCCAATTTACACACACATACTTCTCCTTCTTGGAGGGAGTGTGCCTGCTGTTTTATTTTTAATGCCAGGAAATACATTTAGGGATCAAAAAATAAGAGCAAGCACTGATAATGGATTGTTGTCTGAATACTGTGTGCAGGGGCTGTCAAAACATGTTTATTTTGAGAGCTCAGCATGCCACCCTGTTTGCTGGAATCCCTCATTAGGTAGGCCAGTGTCACAGATGGGAAAGTCAACCTGGAAAAGCAAAATACCCGCAGTGCCTCATCCAACAGCCAAACCCTCAGTGGAATTTCATAATAACTGGCCATTTGGGGCAAGTTAAGGAAAAGACTCAGGCTTTTAGCCAGAATGCGTTGGTGACAGAAACCTAACTTATGCTAAAAAGAAATAAATAAAGAGTAATATTGATTGGAAACCTTATGTAATCAAATGAGGGGGAGGGCAGAGATCAAGTCAGACTTGCCAGACAACACCAGGGACTGGAATTCCATTGGGACTCCCTGTCCTGTGTCT